TTTTTTCATATTTTACTGTTGCTAGTTTTATTTACAACTAGAACCATTTACATACATTCAACTTAATTCTATTATTTGCAAATTTTCGTCACCTAAAATTAAATATTAATAAATTATAGCACTGGATTAACGAAGATCATGCAAATACTAACGGAGGCCGCAGTTCTGACCAGAGCATATCTCCTGTGGTCTAAGATATCGAGTTCGTTGCGATGATATGTAGTTCGTTAACATTTTTCAAAAGGATAGCTACGGCCTTTGTAATTATCATGGGAAATTAAACACGATTTCAGTTGGAGTTATGGTGAGGAAGATGATTAGCAGTTTGACAGTTAGTCTCTTGAAGATATATTTATTTTGGCACATTTAAAGATGTGACGGCCGAGTGTGTTGGAGTGTTGTCCGTTTTAGCATCCTTGTGCCAAGCGACGCCGGTTCGAATCCAGCCTGGGATTTTTGTTGACTTTTATAGAGTTGTGTACCCACAGAATGAAACTCGACCGTCCCATTCCGGTTAGAATAGGTTTGTTTGTATCTCTAGAACAACCCCCACTCCCTCTCGTATGCCAGAAATAGTGGGTAGAGGGTTATCCAATAAAAAAAAAGTGGCACGTTTGGCGCATCTGGCCTGGTTTTGACAGTAGGTCTTGCTTTGTATGAACCAAGTTTTGACTTTAGTTCATTGTATTTATTATATTTGGATTGCTCTAACCTGACAGTTGAGTGAGTATACCAACCAGTCTTCTATATCAGGAATATTTCAGAATTATTTTTTGAAGGCTCTAAATCTACTAAAGATAGTGGAAAAGGATGGATATTTTTCACTGGGTTATGGCATTGTTTGGTCTTAGGTTATGAGATATTTCTTCCAAAACTCTTTTGCTATGGTTTAATTCACAAAACTATTCTGTTTATCTTTCCTTCATTTAATTGCAGTGGAAGTTGTATTTTTTAAATGATTAAATGGTTTATGAGGTTTTTGTAATTTTCTTAGAGATCGTTTTTGCCATTAATTTGTGAAAGTAATGGAAGTTAGACTGACCGATCCATGCAGTAGTTTAGTGACCAAAATCCATGAAATTTACTATTTTACTGACAAAGATATGTGGTGGCTTTGGATCGGAAAAACTACGAGGCTCTAGATTAGATTTATTATTGGAGGCTACTGAATTTGTTGGTTGAGGTGGTTAGTACACTCAATTTACTCCTAGTTTTCGGAGGTGATTTTGACCGATTAATTTTTGATTTAATGAACTACCTGCCGACCCAGGGGTAGAATTTCGGTGGCGTTTTTGAAGATTGTTCCTTTTTCACTGATTTCAGAAAAAGTACAAGCGAAAGTAGAATTAGAAAAATCGTATATCATATACAAATACACTTGCGATGGTCTGGTCCAAGTTGTTCCTCGGATTGACAACTTTCACTCTGAAAAAATATAACCTTGTCGAAATGTGTTCCCTAAAAAATTCTAAATCCCGTAAAAATATGCCCCCCTCAAAACTTTTTATGGCGCAATTTGCACCATTAAACCCCTTCTGGGCACTCCTGGGTTTTGAACTTGAGCACATAGTAAATAAGACCTTCAACGGGAATTACAGACAACTTGAGTGACTATCAAACAATCACCAGTATATAATTTACTGATTGTTCATAAAACATCTATCAGTTCTCAAGACTTGAATCTAAAAATATTCAACTGTTTGTAAAATTACTGTTTACAAACTCGTACAACACAAAAAATAGATGACAAGTAACCAAATTTCAAACAATGTGAACATAGATCTGAAGTTATGGCCATGGCACTTGTGTCACTCCCGTTTTTTAAAAATATTAATTGTTTGTTATTTTTAATTTTTAAAGTAAAATTAGAGATGAATTACATATTTTATTATTCTTTGATTATAAATAACATATATATAATACTTCATAAGTTTCTTCACCTGCCACTGAACATGCATTTAAAATTGAAAACAAAATATCTTCTAATTAACGTTAATACTCGATACTCGATACTACAGATTATTTTTCCTCCAAAACTAGCAAGAGCCAAATGATTTTCAGATGATGAAACCAAAAACTTGCTTACTTGTTTAAATTTTAGATCATAGTCCTTAATGAAGAGTTACTAGAATTAAACAACAAAATATTTTCCAAGGGCACTAATTTCAGACAAGAAAACAAATTTCTTATCCGAGGAGCCCAATAAAATTGTAAGATGGACTTGGTTTGGTTTTAGAACTGAATGACTTAATTAATGAACTAATTTATTTATCAAAAATATCTTTCATCAAGATTGTAAAAGATACATTTTTAAAACATTAGTTCTTGATTAACATCTGTCAATTAATTATGGAAATATGTTTTGGCTAAAATGAAATAATCACAATTCTTTAACATTATAAGGTAGTTTGAAAAAACTGACAAATTTTTCAAGGATTAAAATGTAATCATTTTCGATTGCTGATAGAAAAATATATAAAATAATGAATCAAGAATTGCAGACACTGGCAGATTCAAGGGAGGAAAGGGCCTTTCTAGCAAAGGCCCCCAAAATACAAAATATAATTTGTTTTAGTTGGTCCATATTTGTTTCTGTGATTAATCCTGAGCTAAACACTTAAAAAATCAATATATTTTACACTTTTTAAATCACATTTATTTATTTTAGTAACTAAATGTAAACACCTGTCACAAAAAATAAAAAAAATAAAATAAAAGCATAAAAAAAAAATAAAAAAAATAACCCTGTTCTATTTCTGCCAGTCTTGCGCTTTTTTTTCTCCCCACTTACCTGTACTCAGTTCTATTACATGTTAGTTTTATATATATATATATATATTTTTTATTTTATATTAGTTTATATACATTTATATATATATATATATATATATATATATATATATAAAGAAGAAAAAAAAATGTAAGCCTCCCTAAAATTAAATCCTGGTTCTACTACTAATAGCAGAAATTGTAAACATCCTATAGTCTATAAATATGGATAGTCATGTCAATTCTGCAATTCATGATTCAAATTATACCTGAGGAGTTATAATGGTTAATAAAGATTTAGAGACAAGTTTTATATTTATAATAATTTTTTTTTTGTTGCTGACTAGTTGATTGTGAAAACATACATAGAAATAGGTAATATTTTTATGTATATACATAGGAATAGGTAATATTAAAAACATTCTGTCATTCTCTTACAATACATGTTCTTATAACAAGTTTTAATGCTGGCACATTTGCACTTATTAAAAAGTGTTGGGTTTCACTTAAAATATGAAATATTTTATCTTTCTATTTAATTAGAATCGTGCAAGGATCCAAAAATCTTTTAACTAAAGAAAGATACGATATCAACTAAACAAAAAACTGCCCAATCAATACATACAAATAAGATTAACAAAAACAACTAATTGTGGCAGTAAATGTCATCTTTTCCTTAAGTATTTCTCAATAAGGAAAGTTACAAAAGAAGTAAGTGAACCTACTAGCCCAATTTTCTTAATGATGTAATGATATGTTGATACTTCAAATTTAATTATTAACCTTTAAATCAGGCTTCAAAAATACAAATACAAATAGGATATTTTTATAAATCAGTCTAATGAAGGATCACATATACACACATGCTAAATATCTCTTTCATAGCTCAGTTGCTATCACCAATTATTGTTTAAGATTTTTTTTGGTTTGAAGTTTACATAAAATAATATTATGACAAATTATGAGAATAATAACATAATGGATAAAAATTGAAACATGGAATCATCAAAAATATAACTTAAGTCCATATTCTTAACACAAAAATAGTTTTAATGGTTCTTGTTTACTATGTAGTGTTTACTTAGCGAAAAAAAATTTTTCTTAAACAGATTAAAAAACAATGTCATACACAACTTATTATATTACAGTTATGAATAAATAATAAGTGTTAAATTTTATAATTCAGTAGAAAAGGCAAAAAAAAAAAAGAAGAAAATTATTTACTAATAGCTTATCCATACTTATTAAGTGAAGTATTTTCACTAACATTATTCTTCCTGGTTACAAAAGAGATTTGCAGTATTTAAATAATAAAAAAGAACTTGTCTTTTTTTTTGTCCTCAGAGCTTTTTTTTTTTACAAAAGAAACATATATAACTACTGCTGGAATGTTTCAATTAAACCTTTAAAGAATTTAAGTAGATCAACATTACAATATAGTGAATAATTAAAAAAAATGCGGTTATTAAAATTCCCAAGGTTTGTAGAAGGCACAAGTTAATAAATTATCTCTAATTTTAGATTCAACATTTTTCATAAAGCAATAGGCAAATGTTTATCAAATAAGAATAGTCAAATGTTTGAGAAATAATATTAGTTGAACAGTATAAAAATGCTAAAAAGGAGAAAGGAGTTGCATATAATCAAATATAACTATATAATTATATATTTTTTTCTTTTTAACTTATTTTTATTTTATTTATAATTTATTAAAAAAAAATATATTGTTTTCCCATGATTCTATAATTCTCTTCTCTCTCTCTCTCTCTCTCTCTCTCTCTCTCTCTCTATATATATATATATATATATATATATATATATATATATATAAATATAATACATACAAACTATTGAGAGTCACATATATACATATGAATAATGCCCATTTATAGGTAAAAAATAAATATATATAAGAGGTGGTAACTAGGTATTTATAAACGGCATAACATATAATCAAATGTACACTTAATTTGTACACATAATTAAAATTGAAGTCACTTATAAAATACACAAATAAGGAACATTACAATTTAGTTAATTAGGCACCTGTGAGCTTTTGATTTTTCAATATGAATAACATCATGTCAACAGTAACTTTTTTTATGATAGTAAATTTGCTACTATAATAATGACCAAGCCAATATCCTTTTCTTATTGAAAATATTAAACAGGTAACATATTTATATACTCATAGCAACATATAATAGCTCATTGAAGTACCATTAAATCATTCAATCACCATCAACAGTAGCAGTCAGATAATTTGGTAGTTCTTCATTTTGTTCACCAGACCTCTTGAGGCATGTTCTCACTTCTTGAAGAATTATGGCCATCCTACGATCCAAGGCTTTTAAGTGGGGCTCTAACAAAACTGGTGCGACTGGATCTGACAGAAGGGCATTTCTCATAACCTCACTCAATTTTTTTGGACCATTGTGATAACTGTAAAAATATGTAGATTCTTTTTACTAAACAGTAAATAAATTTGTTCATCATAAAATTTATGAGTGATTACACATCTAAGAATTCGGCAGTCTCTCCCGAAGTAATGCTGTCCAGAACAACACCTTCTAGATGAAAAAAAAAATCATTTGAATCATTGTAATCTGATAATCTGAGGTGGTTATCAGAAGAACAAATGTAATCATAAACATATTGAAATTGGAGAAACAGGTGTTGTTCTTAAAAACTCATATTTGCCTCTTAGTAAATTGTTTATGAAAGTAAAAAGAATACAGGGTAATTTAATGGACTTTTATACTAAAAATAAAATAAATCATGAGTCTAAATTATAACTATATAAATATTTAATGTTAGATTCTATTAATTTAATTTTTAAAAAACATTGAATAAATTAACTTTCACCTCAAAAATATGGTGAAAGGGAGGCAGGGAGGATGTTAGTATAAAATGATAACAATATTAAACGAATAGAAGAAGCTCATAGAACACCATACATAAAGGAGTAGCCTAGTCATCAACGTTTTACATGACCAAAGTCACCTGATATTTTCTACCATGAATGGGAACCTTCGTTTGTTATGAGCCCTATGGAGAGGACTAGAAAAATCTTCAACAATCTCTTGACAATGTAAGAAACATCTTCTAATAAAACCGTTCCGTACCTGAGCTAAAGTATAACCCAACTTCAATAAAAGAGTCCATGGGACCTTAGTAAAAGCAATTAGTTCATTCGAAATACCCAACATTGATTTTAAAGGACCTTTTCCTTCAATCAACAAAAATTGTTCTTATTTATCATTCTTTACGAGTTTACATGGTTACCGTTTGCTGTATAAGATCTGCCAACATAAACGTTAGCAAAGCACTTAGTCAATTATTTTCTATATTCAGATTGTATGCTTATATCAATTTAGATCGTAAGAAATCATTTATGTCTATAGAGTTCAACACATTCTTACATTCTCATGGAATAGTGGCAAGTCACATAAGCCAATATAATCCGCAAGAGAATGATCTGGCTAAACGATGCAATGGGATCATCCGGAAAACTATAAACTAATTTGTCACTTCAGACTCAGCAACCACCAATGAATTGATGGAAAGACATTCTGAGTCATTACACTCCATTAGATCGCTTCTCTGCAATTCTACAAAACATAACGCTTCATGAGCTTATGTTTTATAACCAAATATTCCTCTCAGGTTGATCATCATGGTTGATGAAATCACATAATAACCTACATTGATGAGACTTCATCATGAGAAATCATTTAAGAGATAGTAAATTCCATCGAAAAATAGATGAGAGATCTTCCTCTAGGAGGTCGTGATGGCCGAGCGTGTTAAAACGTAACCTTTACCATTCTTGAGAGTCTATCAACGCCGGTGATGAAATTTATTTCTCGGTGGACCCATGGAATGAATCTCGCCTTTCCATTCAGGTTAGAACAACTTTTATCTATAGAACAACCTTTCTGCCCTCTCCATATGCCTAGAAATAGCGAGATAGACGGTAATCGAAAAAAAACAACAATATTATGACATAACTCCTACAAAACATCTCGTACTCTAGGCGATCAATCTGAGAATAGCACGAATGCTTAAGGCGTTAATGAGTCATCGGAGCAAAATCAACTCTCTCCAAGAAGATGAAGAAGTATTTGGCTAGGAGACAAATCATCATAGAACAGATTATATGAACCCAATGGATCTCATCTCCAGAATCTCTTAAAAACCGTGGAGGAACACAAGAAAATCAACCCCCGCTAGGTACCTCAGAGATTTTGTTTATTAGCGGGACGAATGTCGTGATGTAGGAATCATTGACGATTCTTTATACAACGCGACTTAGTTTTTAAATGATTATATTATTATTATTAAATTATGTTTAATTACTTAGTTCAACAAAGTCTCTAGTTTTGGGTGTAATTCAATCATTATATTAGAAGGGAGATACGGTTAAGCGGGATATGAAAATATACTACTAGAAATCGAAATTAATAATTTGAATTAAAAGTGATGAGTACTTACCCGAGGATTGTGCGGAGTGTAGAGTGCCTGATGATACAACACTGCCGCAGCGGTGCGAGGATACTCATTTCATCGTGGCTGTGCGACCCAAACCCTCTACCATGGTCCAGGTGAAGGAGGAATGTGTCATTCCCGAAGAGGCGGAAGGTCTCGTAGTGGTGGCGGTCCATATTGCCGGTTAGGAAGTCGAGAATACACATGTCGATGATATCCAACAACCTTCGCCCACTATTGTATGGCGCAATGTCCCGGACGAGGTTACAGTAGTCTGATTCTATCGAAAATGTTGCAAGGCATTAATGAATAGTATTTTACATAGCTAAATTTTGAATTTTTCTGTTAAAATTTATAATTTTATCTAAGTGACATTCGACAGTTAAGCACGTGAAGATAAATTAACAATGACAGTTTACAACACGGTTTAGAAACAGGCCTTTCTAATTTACCATTTTGGGCCACTCTGGCAACCTGCTGTATTTTCATTCTAACTGATTCTTGTATATTAACTGATCTATCACAAATTTAGTTTCATTTATAGTCGTTTTAATAAACCCCGAATACACATACAGATGATTGTAAAGAAAATATTTTAATATTCCTGACCGATACAATTGACCCAAAGAAAACCAACACTAGAAAGAGATGTATAATCCATATACAGTGAAACTTTGATTAAAGGTCAATTCTGGAATCAAGGACGTGAGTAGGTACATGGGTGCCCAGAAGGGGGTTTCGTGGCACAAGTTGCGCCAACAAAATTTTTAAGGGGGCATATTTTGATGGGTTTTGAATTTTTATGGGGGACAAATTTCGATTGGGTTTTGAATTTTCGGATTAAGAGACAAAGGCGAAAACATGGAACATACCGCAGCAAATGTAATTGTATATGATCTACGATTTTTCTAATTCTACCTTGCTCTGTTTTTAAGAAAAGTGAGGAATAAAATATATTGGAAGGAGAGAGGGGAGGATTATTGGGATAAATTTTTGCGTCACCGACTTTTCGGGGGATAGGCACTGCTGACTAGGGAATTGTCGGGCAATAAAAATATCCTTATACAAATATGCCTTTATCCATAAATAACAACCCATGTCCTCTAATTTTATTGTTAATGTAAATATATATTAAATAATTTCGTAATATATAAACTAGTCTTGTTAAATAACTACAAACGATTACAGTACAGCAATGAAAGCAGTTTAAAAAACAAATTAAGCTCTATCGCTGATTCTTCGTCCTTCTAAATATGATTTGACCTTCAGGATTCCACTCTTCAATCTTTCGCAAAAATAAACTTCCTTTAAGTGCGATATCTTAAACGGAAAGACTTCAAAAACAATATGATGATAGCTATAAAAAAATATTGATGAGTAGAGTAAATATTTTCCTTAAAATCATTATCACCATTTGAAACACTGAAATTTCCAAGCAAGACTTTACAGTGTGAAGGAAATAAATTATCCTATTCATTCATTGCATCCATATTGCATGGTATCTCCTATACTATATATATCTGTAGTATAAGTATCTATCTACATCTCCTTTCATTCTTCTAAAAAAGATGAAATTGAAAGCTTGAATTTGAGATTACATCTTGTACTTTTTAAAATGATTCCATAAGTTCTTTTAGATGATTTTTATATTAAGAATCATTCCACTATCCAGCAATGCCATCGTGTGGTAGACGTTGTCTCCTCTGCATTGGAGCGCAGAATGTATTGCACTGGAGTTTTTCTCGACGTTGAACAGGCGTTTGATCGAGTCTGGCATCCGGGATTGCTTTACAAACTCCGTAAATTCCTTCCCCCTATATATTTTCTTATCATCAGTTCCTATCTTACTGATAGACACTTCAAAGTAAATCACAATAATACCTATTCATTCCTCTTTTCTCAATCTGCCGGAATTCCTCAAGGTAGTATCCTTGGTCCTATCGTTTACACATTTTATACAGCTAATATCCCAACCCATCCTAACACTGTCATTACTACGTATGCTGATGACACATGTATCCTGTCAGTTAATAATGATCCAACAATTGCATCCCAAACTCTTCAATCACACATCACAAACCTTGAAGAATGGTATCAAAACTGGAGGATTAAAATAAATTCCAATAAATCCCATCAAATCACCTTTACCCTTCGTCGTAAACCAATGAATTGCTGTCCTATAATATCCTTTAATAACACCCCACTTATCCCTGTAGAACAAATCCGATACCTAGGACTCCAGCTGGAGAAACGTCTCACTTGGAATCCTCATACAAGACTGAAACGACAAGAAACTGCTCGACGTTTCCGCTTACTCCAACACTTACTGGACAAACGCTCTAAACTTCCAATTAATTACAAACGACTCATATACATGACTATAATAAGACGTATTTGGACTTACGGAGTTGAGCTTTGGGACTCCACTAAACCGTCGTATTCTTCTCGGATCCAATCCTCACAATAAAAAATCCTCCATGCTCCCTACTTTGTCATAAATAAAATAATCCATAAAGATCTCAATGTTCCATATGTTTCCGATTTGGCCAAATCCAGATACCTATCCTTCCATAATAAACTTCATAACCATCCGAATCCTCTTATTTCTAACCTTCCTGTTCGATTCCTGATAACCCTCCGAGGCGTCTGAAAAGAAGATGGCCTCGTGATCTCCTCATGTAGACAAATTATTAGAGTGCCACCAATGGGTAGTTCCTCAACAAGCGTGTTTCATGTGATATTCCTCTGTACACATTTACTTGATGTATTCATACTAATACAGTTGTAAATATCATAATAAAAGATTAAAAAATATATATATATTAAGAATGGCGCATAAATAGGTAGCTTAGGTGAAGATATTTCCAATTTAAATTTATCGAAAAAAGAGTTTACCTTGTTCCCATTGAGCTTTCCTTCTCTTATGATAGGATCTCCTCCAAGGATGTCTCCAAACCTTTCTAGGTGCCATTTCCTTTGACGGAAGGAAAGCGGCGAAAGAACCCTCTAGTTTATCGGGGTTCCCACATATAGCATGTGCCGTGTCGCAATAATAACTACATTTGCCATGGAAACACCTGTGAATATATAATAAAGTAATTAATATTAATAAAAAAAATTTGTAGTTTTTTCTCTCTCTATTAATTGCAGTAGTATAAAGCTAAGAAATAAATAATGGCTATAAGCTAAGAAATAATGGTATTATGACTGCAAAAATAGAGATTTGAACTGAGATGGAGATTTTTAAACTTTTAACTTTTTTAAAAAAGTTCGTTCTTTAAACTGTTGTCCTGAAATGTTTTACACTGTTACGTGAAACATTTCAGGAGAAACAGCTATTAAAATAAAAGTTCTAAGGAACTTTTTTGTAATTAAGTCCTTGGTTTATTGTAAAAGTTTAACTTTTATTTATTAATATTCTTTAAAAATGGTTTCGTTAAATGAGAAACAAATAGTAGATGGGCTTAGAATACAAATACTTTATCTTAAATGAATCACTTGATTTTTACGTGCCCTGAGCCAAAAATATACTGCTTAAATACCATTTTTTAGAGTGACTTTTCGGTGAAATGAATAGAATTAACATAACTTTAAACTTTTTTTTTTTTAATTAACGTCCTGTAAAAGCTTTACTTGAAAAGTTACGACGAAAGTTTTAGTTCCAAAATAGCAGGAAAGTTAAAGTTATACATAAACTGATTAAAGATAAAATATTTCATTTCAAGACCTGGTTTGAAGCATCTATACGCCGATGTCGAAGTGAATTTGATAAATCGAACAACGCCTTAATAAGCTCTAGGCCACCACGGCCTCTTCTTTGTACTTGAATGTTATTTAATAAAAACTAGATATGATTTTATTAAATACTAAATGAAAACTTTTAAAATTTAATTTTGCACGACAAATCAAAAATATATAACAAATAGAATAATCAGACTGAAATTGTTTAAAATGTTATTATATTTTTCTGAGAAAAGACGTGAATACTGCTGAAAATATTTCAAGTACTGTTTAAGTGAAGGAAAAAATTACAATAATATCCAAAGCTAGGATTTGTTTGCAATTGCATATTTTGATTGCCTGTAGGTTTTAAACTGCTGATCAAATATTTATACGAATCAGTGTAAATAAATGCAATTGGTCTAATTTTACACTCTGCATATTTGATGATAAATGTAAATATCATTTTGATTTTTAATCAAAAAAAAAGGAACGCCCCCTTCTGTTATTGACTTCTTAGAATATTGATTTTTCATTTATTGTTTTTTATTTTATTTCCCTTTCTCATTCTTTCAAATTCTAAACACCAGACTCAGTTTCAATGTCTTTCTTTTTTTACAAACGGTTATATTTTAAAAAATAATTTTAAGTGCTTCATTTTCTTCAAAATTGGAATATCAGATCGACCCTTGCGATTCCAAACATGAAACTGTTTTTTAAACTCACTGAAAGGTTCGTTCATCATCTATTGTTCAAAACAAGTTTCTATTCAAAACAAGTCAATAACTTTAAGTGGATACAATTTAACTTCTATCACGTCTGTTATAGAATGACTATTTTCGTATTATACAAATATTTCAAACGATAGAAGATTAGATTTAAATTTTGGTCAGATGGCGTCGGTTTCTAATTTTTGATACATTGGCGTTCTATTTATTTTTTAAACTAATTTTTTAGTTAGGAACATTACTAATTTTCTTTTATTACTAATTGAAAATTGTATTATTTTAATGATTAATAAGTATGTATTTAATTATTATTAATTATGTGATAATTTGTGTTTTAACTATTTCTCATTTCATTTAATTTTCTCATTATCTATTTAGAGAGTTTTTCAATTTTATTACATATTTTATATTTTATTACTGCATATTTGACGTTATTTTTATTATATATTATATGGCATATTTTGTGGGTTTTTACTGCATACGAATTCGGGCCCTAGTAATAACCTATAATAACTTTAATTATATAACATAAGCTCAAATAATAAATTTAAGAAGTAAAAAGTCCAATTCACGTAAATATAAGTATGTACATTGGAGGCATGTTCATAATAGTAAGAGTACTCAATTTTTATATTAAAAAAAATAAAGAATATATATACATATACCTTACTTTTTCACGTAATCGCTTTCCCGTTCCATCTAGGTTGTAAGTGGTGGCACAGGGTTTCTGATATTCTCCTCATATAACTCTCCCGTCATCTTCATCGTCCACTTCAAGATCTCTTGTTCCTCCTCCTAAGGTATTTTTTCCCACCCATATGAGTCCTCGGGAAGTTTAAAACATGAAAATCTGAAAGCGCTAAGGCAGGAGAGTATGCAGGATGTGATTTACCACGCCCCAAACAAACGAATTCACAAGCACCTAGGAAGCGTTTGCCGTGTGCAATAATCCACTCTCTTCGTCGACATTTCCCTCCTTTTGTTTTAATAGCTCTCTTGAGCTTTTGTAGGGTCTCATAGTATTCTTCTGCAGATATTGTTTACCCCTGAGTCAAAAAATCTATCAAAATGATCCTTTTTAAGTCCCAAAATACAGATGCCATGATTATTTTGGACGAAATTGAGGTATTCTTTGACGAATGTTTTGGCTGTTATGGAACCAGTGTGCAGACATTGTGGTGACTATATTTCGGTCTCAGGGGTTTAATGAGCCACCCATGTTTTATTACTAGTCACAATGAAGATTCTCCCACCTTCCAAAATCGTTCAAGGAACTCGCGATCGCCAGTGATCCGATTCAATTGAGTTCTGGGACATATCTTGATATCCAACCTTTTCTGTAATTATTTCGTGTAACAGAGATATGGAAACATCGCAGATATTTCAATTGGCGGTCTTCACGGACAGTTCATAGCACTGTTCATTAAGTTCTTAGCAGTTTCCTATTAAAAAGTTTTGATCTGTACAAAAGATCAGTCGAAGTTTTTTCTTTCACGAGAATGCGCGCATGGAATTTCTCGAATTTCTCCACTACCACTCAATTTTGTCAACTTGTATTCTTACTTTATGACATGTCTCGTATTACACACTCATTGATATTAAATGATGACATTTTATAATAATGACAAGATGAAAAACAAAATAAGAAATTACTTATTACGCATATCGAGTATTGTTTTTAAAATTTCTCTTAGAGTAACAAGGTACTAAAATATTAAAATATTTACTTACTTATTATTGGAAGGTGAAACGAAAAATGTTTTGAGAAGCTCATCGTCGGCCACTTCATAAATCTCTGATGTTATGTTCAAAATTCTTCCCGTTACAGGCATGGCTCTTCGGAATCCCAGTAACCTGCATAATAAAAAATTAAGATCAAGTAAAAACCAAAGGATGACTAAAAATCTTAGATGAATAGATTAATCTCCTGCTGATTTGAATGACTATTTAAAACGCATTTTATATTTGTTTGTTCGATTAACATAAAATTTAAATCAACAATGATTGTAAAGAAATTCAATCAAAATGCAGAAACAGCATGTTAGTTGAAGTTGAATATTTGTTATGATATTCTTATTTCTACTTGAGGTCTATTCGAGCATAATCTGACGAAACATATCCAGATTATCGTTAATAATAAATTAATAACTTTACTTTGGAAGATTACCTGCATGGTATAGTAAACATACTAAAATTATTATTTACTTGGGAAAAATGAAACTGTGTTAATTATATCGCTACCTAATGGACAAATTACTGCCATAATGTGTAGAAATGTAAATATTTTAGGTCAATGTTGAAATTAAAAAATCTGAAAATGCTTGAGGTTTCGAAAGTGACGATTTTAAAAACTGAAAGGTGTTGTATTACAAACACACAAAAACCTGAACGAATTTGGAGTCCAATTTAGTGAAATCAGTAGTGGCTGATGACATATCTCGTCTTCATCTCAAATATTGGATTCAGTATCGGTGGTAGGTGTGGGGAGGGTAGATGTATTCTTAGAAGCTTTTATTCGCTGTGCAACATTTCGAAAGTGTTTTCAGTTTTTATAGGCAAACATCTAAAGAAACATAAAAATATACACAAAACACTATATTAAAAACGCTGTAAATGTGAAATAATTTATTATTTCCAAACAATTATACATCTACAGTAACTTTACTCTTCCTGTTTTTCCTAGTGACAAAGAAAAAGAAATAAAATGTGATTCCATTTAATGGCCTAAGCATTTTAACAGGGTGACCTCTGATTTTAAATCCAAATTAAAAAAAAATCGGTCCAGTAGTTTTGGAGAAAATGGGCGGACGGCGGAAGGACAAAATTAATGTTATTGTTTTTCGAATTATACGTATCCTGAGACGTTTTTGAATTATTTGTTCGATTACAATGGTTTATTTTTGAAACTAATAAACTAAAAGCAGCAATAGCGCTTCTTAATCCCCACCCCTCATATGCTGATGTTCAGAAATTTAAAAAAATTAAAACGGTGGCGTAAGATAAACAAAATAGCATCCGCGAGATACTCAGCATTCATAAAGTGAATACCGGACTCTTCAAAAGTTATTGGATAAGAATACCGAAATCGATCACAGTGATTGGCTGATTAGTGAAGAATGGTGGTAATATTAGGTCACGTGATCAAAAAAGGAGCTTGACTGAAAATGACCAGGACTCCGTGGTTAAGATTAGGATAAGGCACTCAAAAGTGTACGTGGTGTGGTTTAAACTCGCATTTCTCGCCATGATCATGGGATTGAGTATTTGCTTAAGATCAACCACCATGAAGCGGTGGTTAAAATAGGATAGGATTTAAAAAGGGACGTAGCTGTGATCACGTGATTAAAAAGAAGGCGTGGTCGGGAGGATAAAATTAGGTTGGAGTGAAAAGGGACACGGCCTAATGGTTATGTGACTGGCTAAGAATTGTTAGAGAGGATGGAGTAATCGGTGTGCCAGCTCACACATTTCTTGCATGGTAAGATTGTACATTCCTTGGACCAAGGAAAAATCACTTTACACAAAACGATAACATTCTTTCTTGAAATATATAGCAAATATAAGGAAGAACATTCACTTCCCAAATTCCACCTATAGCAATTCCTGTTAGGAAACTAACTACAGGTTGTAGGTCGGAGAGCAAACAGAATTGCGTAGTTCCAGTGTTCATCTAAGACCTCATATCACCAAAAGAAATTTGATTTTATGTTCGGCAATTGCTGATTTCTATATGTTGATATTAAAATGTTCCCCTTTATGCCAGAATTGGTAGAATGGAGTCTGTTTGAAGGGTGTTACTAACTTCATGAACTGAAAAAAAAAGTTAATGAATAAACGAAGGTGACGACTCGGACGGCACCTAGTCGGTGTATTTGCCTCAGGGCCACATCCTGTGGTAGTATTTGTTTCTTGATTTTTGGAGAGGAGGGACGTGAGAATGCTATAAGAAATATTATTTTGTTTAAGAGACTTTAACACATTCATCCATATCCAATATCATCCATATCCAAATCATCCAATATCCAAAACATAATTAATTGTTATTCCTTGGAATTTTACTGTTTTATATGATGGTAATCAAGAATATAGCGATTTTAAGAATAGTTATGATATTACCTGTCTAAATGAAAAGTGGCTATTTCAGCTGTGTGTCTTTCAAAATCTGTAAAGTAGAAGTGGTTTGGCAGAGTTCCTTGCTCACGAGGAAATCTGAAACAAAAACGTAGATAAATGAGATATAAATAAAACCTTCTGGAATTAGCGAATTTCATCGAATCAAAGTGCTTGCACGTAAGTATCAGTTTAACTAACAATAAAGAAATAAAAAAAAATCCCAATTATTAATTAAAACTACAATGTAGTTATCAGATAAAAATAGAATGAAAATATAAAGTTTGTAAAACAACTAAGACATTGATAATATTGCATTTAATGAGACATTCTTTTAACGAATTGAAATCGTCACTCCTCTGAACAAAAAGAAAAAGGAAGAAACAGGGAAAATACCTTCGCGAACAACTGAGTCACGCATCATTTATTATATTACCATAAAATCATTATGATTATTTGTCTCTTCGTCGGTGATTCTAGTACGTCAGGATAGCAATTTACTCATAAAAATGAGCGGAGAGTTATAACTTTGCAAAAAAAAAATAATATTTTAAATTACAGTAATAAATATTGATAAAAATATCTTGAGTCCATTTATGCGACTTATCCTACCTTTGCTTTGCTTGTAAAGTCTGATTAAAAGAGCATTTATTGTATCTTATTTAATATTGATCCGATATGTTTTTAAAAATTTTGAATTGGTATTTGAATAAGCAAACAATAATTTTAAAGTTTGTTTTTTAATAATCCTTTAAAGAAGCATCTGAATTGTTTCGGGAGATTTTTAATTTTCTAGTCATTCGAGAAACTAAGCCTAAAATTAAATTGAATTCTCGAGCTAATTTATATTATGAGTAATATATAAATATTGCGACTTGAAAATGGGAAAAATTGCCTGAAACCTCGTCGAGAAAATATTAAAATGAATTGAAGAAGCTGTAGAGGTGTAAGGGTGACATAAAGACATTTTCCTCGAAATTATAAATTTTATTAACTAGATATACCCTTGAAAATTTAGAAGATTTAATAAAAAACTATATAAAGTTTGTTTTATTCAATACGGCTTTTATTCAGTTGCTTTATTAATAGGATAAAAATTAGTTATCCTCACCGCTTTGGGGATTTTCACCTTTATATATATATATATGATGATGATGATGATGATGATGCATATACATATACATGAATAAATAGATGTTTCGTTCAGGATGCATGCATAATACACAAAATTTGGAGCTCCGAATAACTAATTTTCTCTCAGGTCTTACGTTTCGGACATCAAGGATCAAATCTGGTTCGGTGTCTGTCTGTCCGTAGTCAAATCGATGTGATAGGCACATCACAAATTTTTATAAACTTCATGGATTATGCGGTTTGTTGCCTAGACGGTCCCACATCAATTTCATCATATTCCATCCAATACTTTCGCTTTGTATTTTGTTAGTCATGCCAATGTTTTAGAAAAGGTTCGTTCGATTTAATTCAAAGTGGGTAGGAAGGCGGTGCTGATTGGTTCTGCCCTTTGATGGCATGATGGCGCCGACGTCTGAAAATTATTTGGGGGAGCCAAACTATAGGATCATGGAGTGGGGGGCTTGCAAGGTTGGGGATATTGTTTGGAGCATGCCTATATGCAATATATGCCTATATGAAAAATTACTGCCTCAGTTGTTAAGTCACAAAAGATACTTAAAACTAATAAAGGTGAGTTTATGAATCCAAAATAGGACATCTTTAAACAAAGCCTACTAGTAGATAGGCAGATGTAGTCCTTTAATGTAATGTACACGATCAATATGTTCACGAAGTTCATACTATAGCAATTTCAATTTGTTAGGAGGGGGGGATGGACTCCCATGGCAGCATTTGAAGGGATCAGGTCACTTGAGACTCTAGTAGTATGGATCTACGGTCCATTAGCTGAAATAGGCGATATTTAAAAGTAACAGTTAAAAAAAATAAAGAAAAAGTTGAAAAATTTTATGAACTCTAAGATTGTTTTAACAAGCCGATAATAAAACCGATTTACCAATATTCATTTAATAAACACTATAAAGTTAAATTTAGACAAAGTTCAAAAATAAAGATGTTCTGGTGAAGTTGGTAAGAAAACTATAGAGGCCCTACAGGAAGAGCACTAGAACAGCACCCAGGGGCCACTTTTATTGGCCAAGCACCCCGGAGACCAGTCCTTTCTTATAGGGCGTTAGTCTTGCACGGCTCTGTCTATGCCTCTTGTCAGTCCATCACCTGTCGTTCCAATAATATCAGTGAAGTGGAAGAAGATAAAAATATTATTGCAATTAAAATTAAAAAAAAAATAAAAAATTATGCCATCAGTTCGTACGCTATTGAACAATACTATTTTCAAAAATGGTGAGAATCAAATCAATAAATGAAACTAATTTAAGAAGTTGGAGGGAGCAACATAGGATTAAGCTGAGGATAGCATAGGACTTGGGCAATGCTTCATTTCAATGTTCTGGCCTTTACCAAATCCATCCCCAGGTTTTCTTAGTCAATTAAACAAGCCTGTCTTACATTTATCGAATATATCATTTATCCTCACTTCTTCCGTATTGTTTCAGATTAATATTAATAATGAAGGAGAACAATCTTTCCTCCAGCCTGCATTCAATTTAAGATAAGCCATACTTTCATCGAAGCCTAATTATATGTTGGTTGTTTTAAAACGCGATCGCTCCAAGTTAATAAAGTTATCTAAATTACCATTATTGGTTTTTTAAATGACAAATTTTAGATTATATAAATACATTTCTATCTCTATTCTATCTTTTTTCTTAAAAGTTAATTTAAACAAACTGTACCACTACAACCATTGAAGAGTCTTGGGTTCAGCACTATTTAGGGACTGCAGGGGGAAAAGCACTGTTTCTTGGTCTAAGGTTGTGCAAGCAGATGATTGGAAATTAAAATTAAAATAAAAGTTCAAAGAACTTTATATAAATAAATTTCGTCGTGGGTTGTTTAAGCGAGTCTTTTACATATTTCAGTTATTAACAAAAGTTTCGCTAAATGAGGAATAAATATTGCATTGACTAACATTGCAAATATAGCAAAAATACTTGATGGTTAAGAATATTCAAAATAAATTAATCATTTTATATAAAAATGTAAAAAATAATATATGAAACATATAAATAAATATGATATAAAAATATATGAAATAATAAAATAAAATGTATAAAAAAATGCTTAAAAAATATAAAATGTATAAAAGCGTGTATATAAATAAATAACTGTATCAAAACCAACAAAACAGTCTTACATTGCGGGCCAGGAATACACTAAGCTCTGCAGGCACAGACGTACTCACTATTGAAGTGTGGGGCAAAAGACTGTGTACATAGATATGTAACTTGTTATTTAGTACTACTAATTTCCATTGTCAAAGAACACTATTATGATTGCAAAATGAGATTATTTTAGTACGAAAAAAACACAGAAAATTTCGGTTTTCCTATTTATCATGGAATTTAAAAAATTTAAAAATACATCAACTTCGACGATAATACCATAAGAAATAATATGTTATTTCTATAAGAAATAATATTATATTATTATATATATATATATATATATATATATATATATATATATATATATATATATATATATATATATATATAATAATGTATAAGAAATAATAATAATAATATACAGCTATATATATGTATATAGTTCATTTAACAATAATTATGCTGATTTCGTATTTTTATGATTTTAGATAGTTTTCATTTATAATACAAATTCAAGACAATTTTTTTTTCTCCACCCTCCCTGTCTTAAATAACAATGGAAAATGAAAATTTAAATAACAGAAATATTTAAACAGTGGTCTATTTAATTTAACTATTACCAAAATACTTAGGTAGTCGACTTTTCTTATTTTCCCTAATCGATTCCGATTGACCCATTTTATTCATTCAAGTACATTTTATTCATTTGTTATTAGTTTTAATTTAATTTAATTTTTACTTCATATTATTGATGGGGCGAAATAATATTCTTGATCCTCTCGTTTTTTATTAGTGAAGGAGGTGAATGCCTTAGAAGAATGTGTTTATGGTGGCAATGTTGTCTTTAAACGCCATTACAAATGCATTAGTATATGCTTTTATTTCTAAATTAATAAAGTAATTTTAAAAACACATTTTTTAAATACTTGTTTAACCGAGTACAACTTTAATAAATTTTTAACTATTTTTAATTTAATCTGGCTCTTCGTACCTTTAGTACTTACCTAGGTTTAATTATGGATGTCATATTTTGTTGTTAATACCATATTACTATATTTTGTAGATAATGTTATGTATAAAAATTTTCACATAATTATTCAGACTGTACAAACTTGGTGTTTTTGTTTTGAGGTTGTACAGACTAAGCGATCATATAGATATTTCAGCATTTAATACTAATTGTTTTTAGCTGAAAAAAAATCTAGAAACATACCTATATTTGAGGCTGCCCCTCTTCCCCCTGTTTAATGTCTGAAAATAGGTAATATATCCAATTGTTTTGTTCACATAGTTTCAAATATAACTTTAGGAAACAAAAAACTACACACACACACACACATATATATACGCATACTTAATAGTAGATATGGTAAAGTTGTAGATTATATTATGATGATGACAATTATTGATGAATAAAATACTACAGTTTAATGTAATAAAAGCACCCACCTCATTGGTTTGAAAAGAGCTTGAATTTTGTTGGCGTAGTCAATCACCAGTTTTAGTTGTGTTCCACCAGCTTTCTGTTCTAAAAGTAAATAAGTTCAGGTTATATAAAATGAATTAATTGATACATAGTAGAAATATGTTATATTAATACTAAAATAATAGAAAAAAGAGCAATACTTCAGAAAACTATCTATTAACAACATCCAGAAATACTCTTATGACAGATGTTCAATTTCTGTACTAGTGCTGTCGAAATGCAATTAGTCCACCTGTATAATTTAGTTCCATGCTGTGGTTGAAATTCAAATTGTTTGTGGGATGTAATTTTATCGTTCGCTAATATGTTAGTGTATTTTGTAGATTAGTCTCTTAAAGATTTTGGAACGTATTGGGAACATGCAAATGGATTTGCATGATGAAGGAATGTATTTGTTCTCATTTGGTATATGAATCCTTGCAGTGCATGAGTATTTCCATTGTAAAGGGGATTTGGTCGTTCTGATTATTGTATTATAAATTAGGTAAATTAAAGCTTTCTTTGGTCTTTTTTTAAAGCACTTGAACATTTATCATGTTATGACCAGGGGCTGTCTTTTTAGGTAGTTGTCTAATTTGTTCTGCTACATGTTTTTGAAGGAAGCAAAATAGAGTTAATTCAAATTGAAGTGGAATGCCTAAAGTATTGAGAAAACGCGTTTCGTGTTCGGTATTAGTGAAGTCAGTATAGGTTGTAAAATGGGAAGATAGATAAATGACGAATAACTCAAATCTTTCGATGTCTGATACGGCCCAAAAATCATCTTCGTTTCAGAAAGGTACAGATACAGATACAGGTACTTCACGATGATTTTCAGTTCCTTAGATAGTTGTCGTAAATTGTAGTTTTAAAACTTTCAAGCTGTTTCAGTTCTTTGTGGTCTCTTGAAATCCCGTTTGACAGATGGAACTCGATCAGTTCCTCATACTGTGCGAGCTCGTCTCTTAGCCCTGATAAAATCTTAGGTACTGGAAGCCACTCGTTACTACTGGATCTAGGAACAGAAGAAGACAATACCGCCTGTTCTATACTGCTTGTAAATCCATCCACTGTGTTTTCGGTCTTTAGTATCATTGGAAAAGAGAGCTATAAAGAGTTTTTCCGGGCCAGGGAGTGAAGGCGGGGATTAATTCAAGAGTTAAAAGACCCACCGGCATCGGGACAAATACTTACAAAATAAAGACTACAAAAGTATTCTTCCTAAATCCAAAGCGGTTTATGTAAACGAAAAACTTCTAACAAATTTACATTAAAGTTTGACTTATTTAAAATAAATAAAAAAATAAAACGAATCAAATAATCATTTCTGAAATAATTATTACAACTTAATTTAAATTTTAAAACTTATTGAACATTACGTTTTACCAAGAAAAAAAAAGTTGAAACGCTATACCAAAGAAACATGTAATTCAGTTATATCAATTATGCATCAGTTCTATTTGAATTAATAAAATCAGATAATTTGTTGAAAAGAGGAGAGCTGCCTACTGGATGATTATAATCATCCAATGATTATAATCAATGATAATTATCATTGCAGGGCACTAATGACCTGAATACGATCCCGATACATAGCTTACATAATTTATTGCACCTTCTAAAAGCTCGGCTAAATGTCATGCCAAAGCAATAATTTATAGTTCTTGGTGCAAGTTAATTTTCATCTTAACATTTTATTATTGCGGTTACAGCTTTGTGTCCGATGAATAAATAAATGAAAAATAGTTTTATTTTGAGACTAAAATCCCCAAAGAATAATGACAAGAAATATGTACATAAGTTCAAGAAATGTGTACATTAGTCTGGTATGTATAAATAAAACAAATACACATAAAAAATATAATAAAATGGTACTGGTTGTCATCATAAGCAGTTGTAATCACTAAATCTGAAAATTCTTACATAGTTGCAAAGGATGGAGTAAGAAATAGATGGTGAAATAGAAGTTATTTGAAGAATTTTGTGGACGAGGTTTGAAGTATTCCGATAGCCACGGAGTTCCAAAGGAGATAGCACGAATGATGAACGATTTGCTGAAGGAAGTGGTTATATAAGAGATGGTATATAGATCTATAGGTTGGGATCTGGTTTTAAGTGTGTGGATAGAGTACTAAGTTGAAACGCACATAGTTTCTTCCTTAACTCTCCGATATAACTTACAAAATATATATAAATGTATACATGTATTGAAAAATGATATTGTAATCTATTATTAGTTTATTATTTTCAATAATGAACCATTGTAATCGAACAAAAAATTCAAAAACTTAATCCCCTCTCAAAATTTGATGTTTTACGTTTTAGGATACCTAGAATTCGAAAAATGAATAAAAAAATTTGTTGTCCGTCCGCTGTCCGTTGTCCACGCATTTTCTCCGAAACTTCTTTACCGCTTTTTTTTCAAATTTGTATTTAAAATCAGAGGTCCTCCGAGGATGATCCTCCTTCATCGACATTACTATCCGCCTTTGCTTTCCAAGATGGCGGCCGAAAAACCTGCGTTGCTATAGACTGTAGCGCCTAAAAGAATGTATCGATTTTAATGAAACTTGGCTTCTTCTCGATGCCCTTTAAATTTATCTATTTAACATACTTTAACGAAAAGAGGCTAAAAAAAAAAAAATCTAACGAGGGATGGTAAAATTAGGTTCCGAAAAACTCATAAAGCATACACTTTTTTGTTGATATTGTGATAAGATTTTTCAGACATTTAAATTTCCTAAAAAATGAAGAAAGATTCATCGAAATCAGAGCACTATAAGTAAAGATATCGCGGTTTTTAAATATTTTTAGTTTATTATTTTCAATAATGAACCTTTGTAATTGAACAATTGTTGTTTAAAAATTTACGAAATGTCACAAATAAACAACATAAAAATCATTAAAATCGGACATTTAGGAGCAATGATATGGTCTCTAGATGTTATTTTATATGTTATACTGCAAAGATTATATCTTTTGTTTTTGGTTTTCGAATGTGTAACTGAAGTAATGCTATTTTGTTATATAGAAAATTACAAATGGTTGAAGAAAAATATTTACGGCAATAATTGAAATCACCTGTTATTTCTTATTTCGTTGACTTTAGGAAGGTAATATTACTTTAGATGTACAATTGTTTGGAAATAATAAACCATTGTGAAATAATTTTCAGCATTTTTTTTTTTTATACACATTTATAAATATATATTCCCTAATTTTAAGAGTCACTTCATTGATCAGATTTCTATTATTAAAATCCATGATACAAAATATCTTGGAAGTAATAATGCAACGGATTAACGTTAGTGGGACTTTAATTGTTAGTAACATAATAACTGAAATCTAGTATATTTTGCTCAATAGGTTCAATTTATTATTCAATTTGTTCAGACCTCTTCAGGAATAATTAAATGATATAAGCCCTGCAATATATCATAAAATCTGGAGAATTTCGGTATGACAGTTATTAATTATTAACCAAATATAACAGAAGGGATACAAAAGCTGGGTGGGCCGGCTAATGCTTCTGCAAAACACACGTTCCCTGACAACCTGATTAACTGAAGATAATATAATAAAATAATTATTTAGCGAGGCGGGGTGGCTCACAGGGCTTACGCATGTGAAAAATACTTGTTGTACAGTTACGGAATGGACTTAATTCGAAACAAATAATAATATTAATTTAACTTTTATTTTAATAATTGAGTTTGTTAAATATGCCAATTGGTGAATCATGTATTGACGTTTCTCATGACTCAAAGGATAAAAGGACAAAGCTATCCGTAGAAAGCCAGGTCAAGTTATCCCTGATAGCTTAGAAATAGTTATGTACCGACTGGACACAAGACCCGTTATCAAGACTTAGGGGACAATAACAGATTTCAGCAAAAGGTCTCTTTCTCACAGACTTCATATCAATTCTAAAGGTAAGGATATCAATTCTTAATAGTTAATAATTTCTTCCCCACGCTTCCTAGACCTCCTAGAATTCCTACATCCCCCAACTATTCCGGGGTATATTATCTCCATGCTCCTCAGAACAAATCACTCTAGCAGTTACAATCTTGAAGTCACACTCTTGCCAGGAGACCTGGAGTGAACTATTCTAGTCAACCCATATATCCATAGTATATTACTCTGTATGTTAGATGCCATTTGTAACAGACATTATGAATGAAAGCATTACTTATAAAGTCTTCACTGCCTCCGATATGTTAACTTACGATAACCTGATAAACCGAAGATTACAAGTTCAAACCCCAGCGCCAGGGACTTTTATCTCTGGCATTAATCACCCGCCCTCACCCCTGGCCTGGGAAAAAATCCATAGCCAAATTTCAGTTTGATTATAAACATTTTTAATCTCAATTTTTTTATTAATATAACTACAATAAAGTATTTTTATTTTAAATATGTCGATTGCCTATAGGAGATTTTTAGTAGTATGCCTTCATAGTTTTCTTTATTTTTTTTAAAACTATTAATTTGTGATAATACTATTTTCCCATTAAAAAAACAATTGTATATTATTGTCATCTGTAATGATCTTTAATATATCATTATATTAAAAAACTATAATTACTATAGTATATTTATTTAAAACATTAGCTAAAATTATTCATATTGAATACTTAATAGTTGACCATTGCATTTTGCCACTAATTTAGTCTATTTGTGACCGCCACCCCGGACCACCCCTTTCCTCAAAAATTATTCATTTATTAAATCACTTCATTTAGGAAACATAGTATTGCTTATATTTTTTATGTAATGTCATTTTTCGTTTATTTTTACTAACATAAACTCTACAATTTTATTTGTAAATACTTAATTAAAAAAAAAAGAAGTAAAAACTGTTATCAATATAATATTTTAACTCCTTTCTGTTTATATTAACCATTCTTTCTTATCGAATAAAAAATTGCAGATGCCCGTATTTCTGTTACTATATTTGGTATCATTTTTTATTATTAGGATTTTTTTTTGTTACTCCCCTTGTTATTTTTATAAAAGTATCGATATTTTTATTATATATACATATATTTTTTAATGAGATG